ATTTATTTACCTGCAGTGACTTGATAATCACAGATGAATAATGAGATTCTAGCTGGTTGCTCTCTTGAGGTTCTCTCAATCTTTTTATCTCAAGGCTCTCATTAAAAACATCTTCTTGCCCAAAAAAAATGTATTCAAAAAATCAGTATTGAACAAAAAACAATCCAAACTGATTTTGGTTTGCGACATGAAAATTGCAAAGTACCGTTGTAGTTAACTTGATCCAAAGAGCTATGTTGAGTATGCTAAGTCAGCTATGATGAATATATTACGTCAGCTGTGTTGTTATGTTACTGGATTAGGGAAAGGCCTATGATAGCATACTTAAATTTGAAGCTTCATTATTCAGTATCCTGAAGACCAAAAACAAAACTTTCAATATGGATCCATTCTGGAAACTTGAAAACACTGGGCCTGATTAAATCCATTCTTGAATCTGATGGTTGTTGTATAACAATGTTGTTTGAAGCCAATCTTCAGCATGCTTGAAAATAGATAACATTCCAACAATGGAAAAACTTATTTTTTTATGAGCTGTTAACTCTCTCTTAAAACTAATTGGATAGAAACTGATAGGCATAACCAATCTGATTAGTTAATATATTGAAACAATTGCTGGCAGAATCTGAGCCAATAGAAATTAGGCAGACAAGCTTTATATTAAAAAAACTTTAACTTCATTCTTATTTAAAAAGTATTATATAATATACATAATATATTATATAATATACGAGCATATAATATACATAGTAGTATATATACATACTCAAGCGCCTTAGCAAATCAGATACACTCAACCCAACCTTCTACAAGTCTACAGATCTTACGCTATTAGCCACATGATGTTTAGTGCCCCAGTTTCTTCTTGTAGCAAAAAAAGAGATACAACATTTTCACAAAAATGCCTTACACATCATCGGAGTTGATGCAACCAACTCGAGCTGTCTCAATATTTGTTTTGACATTGAAGAATTACTTGACAAGACCTGTATTAATATTCTTAAAAAGATCCTTGCAGATCAAACCATCCAATAACCACTAAATTACCTCGCACCAATAGCATAAAACCCCAACAGATTCCCATTCGCTCTAAATACCGCAATCACTACTACTTATCAGCAATCCTTTATTCAAAAATAACTACATATCCTTCGTGATGGCACCAGTGACCTCTACCTTCCACAAAACAACTCCGCTGCTTTTTCAACTCATATATGATCAATTCTTTTTCCTGCGTTCTTAGCTAACTTTCACTCATTATTTAACAATAAATAAAATTGTACATTCATTATTTGTAATGCTAATCAATTTTAAATAAAGATTTATATATATATATATATATATATATATATATATATATATATATATATATATATATATATATATATATATATATATATATTAATTTATAAAAATAAAGAAAACAACTTTTTATGGTACTAATAGTTTCATGCCTAAAGGCAATCATCAGCCATGTAATACAAAACAAGAAACAAAAAAAACCGCTAAAATATAAAGTTACAGTGGAGTGTTCTCCAACGTCAAAACAAAACAAAAACAAAAAACTAAAAACGGCTGCCTAATCACCCGTATCGAAATTCGAAAGGAGGAACTTGCTTTTATGTCTACATTTAGATACTAATTCATTCCTCTTATTTAATAAGTTATCATAGGTGTACAATATTATGAAATACTTTTTGTATAGACATAAGTTGTATATATATATATATATATATATATATATATATATATATATATATATATATATATATATATATATATACATATGTATATATATATACATATGTATATATATATACATATATATATATATATATATATATATATGTATATATATATATATGTATGTATGTATGTATGTATGTATGTATGTATGTATGTATGTATGTATGTATGTATGTATGTAATTATGTATATATATATATATATATATCTCAAAGTAATATGATATATTTTGAGGTAGAAGTAACAAAAAACAAAAAAATTTAAAACAAAGCTGTCATAAATCTTTAACTAAGAGATCAATCAATATAAAATTTTATAAAATCTGCTTAAAATTGTTCCAACTTTCATTAAAGTTTAAATACTGGTTTTGATAAATTCTGTTTTTTATCAGTGCATTATGATTAAGGATTATTTTTTTCCGGGAAAAATAATAAACCAAAATTCCGAAATCCTGGGAAAATTTTTCCGGGTTCCCGCGCTTTTTTTTTTGGTACACATTGATTTTAATAACAAATTGTTTAAGTTTCCCGCCAAAAATAGAATTTTTTGTTTTCCCGACCATTAGAAGGTCATATACTTTTTTTTGTTTTGTTTTTGTTTATTCACCTCCCCAAGGCTGAGAAGGCTACTACAGACGTGGAGATACTTGTTGAAATATATCACTGTGAGATTAAATTTTAATAATTATTATAAAGATGTTCTCAAACCATAAAACTTCAAAGGTTTGGAATATTTTGATCTCAAAAAGAATGATGAGGCACAATGCAAACAAAGTCCAAAATTAATATTATGCAAAGGTGGTTCAACCGTTGTGTTGAAAAGACATAGAGAAAATCCACAATATTATTTTAAATAAAAAATATTGTTTTAAATAATTATTATAAGTATTAGAAAATAAATATTTTAAAATATTATTTTAAATTAAGAGTGTGAGCGTGAACCGCCAAATAAAAAACGTTGTGTTCAATCTACAATTGATTCTATAATAAAAAAAGTTTCATTAGGAGAACGATTGGCTAAATTTGCTGCTATTGATGGATTTGCTATAAGTGCATTAGCTGAATCAGATCAAATTTGTGAGTTGCTTTATGATAAAAACTACAGTTTACCATAATTTAAAACAGATGTCATGAACCTTATCTATAAATATTATATCGAAATAGTTGAAAAAAAAAAAAGAAAAGAAAAATACTTGAAATAAAAAAATAAAAAAAATACAAGTTCAGTGTAGATTCAAAAATATGGAATAAGGTTTATGAATATTAATCTTCACTTTAATATTGGTTTTATAAATCTTGGATTAGAGAAAATAATTGGATTGTTTAATGCAAATGATTGCCTTAAACTACTTATCAAAAGATTAGACATGTTTAATGTTTGTTCCAGTGATGTAGTTTGCATAACAACAGATGGTGCTTCCACTATGGAAAAATTAGGAAATATTTCTCCTGCTGAATATTAACTTTGTTTTGCCCATGCAATACAAATGTATTGCATGGGCAAAATACGCAATACATTTAGCGGTAGTTGATTTTATTTATAAAAAGAAAGTTAAAAATAATCAGATTTCTAATGAAGAAGATATTGAATATGATTTTGATGTTTTTGATGATGAAAATAATAATGAGGATGAAAATGAAATTAGTTACCCAACTCCTGATCTTGTTCCTGAGCTTCATAAAATTCTGGTTAAAGTTCGTAAAATTGTTGTAACTTTTAAAAGATCTGCCTTAAAAATGGATACTTTGAAACGTTATTCTAAAAGTGAATTTGGACAAAAGCTAGGACTTATTTTAGATTCACTTGTTGGAATTCAATGCTGGCCATGAATCAAAGATTTATTAAATTTATAAAAGCACTTGGTAAACTTCTGGTGGATTTCAGTTTAGAAAAACTCATGTTGTCCAATGATGAGCTAGAAGTAGTTGAAAGTTTAGCAAAAAGTCTTGAGCCAATTGTTTTATGTTCTGAAATGATTTGTAGAAGGGAAGCAACATTATTAACAGCTGATGACAGAAGGGGCAGAATTAACAGAATTAGCTGATGACAGAAAGTTTATTATTAAAGCAAATAGTCTTAAGAATGCTCTAATTAAAAGGATTAAAAAAAATTGAAAAAAATTAAAAAAAAGTAAGGTTAAAAAAGGAAACGCGATCTTGTTGGTTTATTAAGGTTTTAAAATAGTTCACAGTCTTTAAAAAGTGATATGTATAATAACTTTTTTGCATACCATCTAAAACAGAGATGATGAATGATGAAACAGCTATGGAATTAACTGAAAGACTTTTCCCCATATTTGAAAATATACCAAAAGTAGGAGATTAAATTAATGATAATGATAACCTTAACAAAAATATGATTAATGATAAGCTTAATAATAGTAACGTCAGTTTAGAAAAGTCATCAGAATATTTGGCTGAAAGGTTAGAAAAGTTTGTTAAAAAAAATACCAATTTGTAGTCAATTGCAACAAGTCAACTATGCGTCAGGAATTCAATTTGTTTGAAGCAACTAACAAAAGATCACATAATTCAGATATGCTTTATAATGCACTTTTAACTATTCGACCATCCAGTGTTGAAGCTGAAAGAGTGTTTAGTTCAACAGGTTTATTTTTAACAAAGTTTAGAACTAGATTATCAGACATAGTTATTTGGATGCACTGGTTTTTCTAAAAGTTCACTTTAAATCACAAAATTAGTTTTTAAAATAAAGTGAAAAAAAAAAAAATTATTTGTTTGTTTTTTATTTAAATGTACATCCCCGGGATTTTCCCAGGATCCCGGGAATGCTACAAATAATTCCTGCTATCCGGGATAGCAAAAAGTCCAGGAATTCGCAATCCCCAATTATGATGTCAAAATATCATTCAATTTGAACATTTAAATTTAATTTTTTTTCATGGAAAAAATTTCAAAATTCACATTATACCCTAATACCCTTGCTGTGTAAGCTATCACCATAAAGAGGTGGTGATAATTAGTCAGCTAATTGTCTGCAATATTATCAAGTCAGTTAATTGTCTGCAATATTAGGATACATGATAAAAGTCTTATATTAGATAAAAAAATATGCTATTATAGTATATATTTTTTATAGTATATATAATAAATTTATATAATTAAAACATGACGACATAATTTGAACATATGTATTAAAAATATGTAACTATCTAAAGTAAAGGGAGTAAACACAATAATAATAAATATAAAAACAGTCATTCAATAAAAAATAAAAAAAAAAAAAAAACTTACCTATTTCAAAGAGAGAAAAAATCTCTTTAATGTCATTGGAGTATTTTTGATTTTGGTCAATGTTTTCTATTGCAGTTTTACCATTATCGTTTTTAATGCTGACATCAGCACCAAGAAAAAGCAAAGATTTTAAAATGTCTAAATCATCTTGCTATAAAAAACCAAAAACACCAAAATATAATACACATTTCTAACATTCATGGTTTTAACAACAAATACAATATCTATTTAGTAATTCAGATTCCATTAAAAAAAAATGACATGCAAAATTTATCTTTTTTAAAATGAATAAGTACAGTGCTTAGAATAATGAATGGTTTATGTTAAAAATTAAGTACATATATATCAAGTTTTGAAATTTGGTGGGGAAAGTACTAAATAACAACAAAAAAAAAGGAAAACTTCTTCAACCTACAAGCTAAAGAATTCTACAGTAGATGCTTATTGTAGATTACTTAAATTACCAATGCAAAAACATTTTGAAAAAAAATTATATACTACATACGCCATGTTGAAAAAAAATACACCATGTTATATTTTTTCAGTTGTAATCATAGATATATCTATAATTACAACTGAAAAAATATAACATGGTGTATTTTTTTTCAACATGGTGTATGTAGTATATAACTTTTTTTCAAAATTAAGTATACTTAATTACTATTTTGCATTTCATTAGCAGCAAATATCTAAACTATACAACTCTGAAAAGAACTGAAGTTGTCTCAACTCTCTTAGCAAATGATTGCTAAGAGAGTTTAGATAATTTAATAATAAAACCTGAAACTTAAGAAAAATTGTTTCTTAGCTGTTGAATTTTTAGATGGTCAGGGACCCAGCTTTTACTGTGACTGTTTCTAAATGCTCTAAAAATTCGTATTCCTCCAATTTTTTTCCTAGGACATCAGTTCTTTGGAATTTTCTTCCATCATCTTGTTTTCCTGATTCATATAATTTGCAATATTGAAAGTTGTTTTTCAATCGTTATCTTGCTCTATAAACTTTTTTTTTTCTTCCAGTAACTTCCAACTCTGGATGCTAGCAGCCATGTTGGAAGTAAAAATGTTGAAAAAAAAAAATCTGCTAACCAGCCTCAAACCTCTTTTTTAATTGAATCTGTGTTACATTGTTTTCTACGTTGGAAAATGAATGCTGGATCTTCTTGACTTTTCATAGGTTTTTGCTTGTGCCTCTTTGATAGTGGTTACTTAATTCTTCCTGTTTCTTTTTGTAACTCCACCTGCTTTCTCCAAATGAAGGTACAGCTCTAAAACTCAGTTCAATGATTTTGAGGCTGGATAGTAGAAGGGTTTCCTAATCTCTGTGATAGCTCTCAGAGAGGCTGATTCCATCAACAGCTGCAAAAAATCAGAGTATTAAAAATGACATGTTGCGCATGGATGTTGTCCCTGTTAATGCATATGGTGTACATTGTTGAGGCCATAAGGAACATAAAGAACCCTATTTACAACTTAGGGTTAATTAAATGAGACAACTGCATAGCTCATTGCTTAGGAGATTGTGCTTTATCTTGGAATGAGACAAGTTATCTTGAATCTTAAATCATGCCAAAAGTAACCCAAAATATTAAACATAAAAAACCATCACCACCAGCTAACTGTTTTAATACATCTTTTACAAATACTCATGATTTGCAAAGCAACCTTCTTGCAGTTGAATCTTACCTCTTGCAAAATTTACCAGAATTGTTTGCTCCTAGTAAGACTAATTTAAATTCCAAAAGTTCCTTTTTCAGATCTCAATGTTGGCGGAACTTTTGATCGGTATACACACGCATCAATTCACCTATTTATCATAAAATTTGGTTTGAATCCTTTGACCATTCTTTTATGTACTTCCGTTTAGCACCTTTTCATTCTATCACCTTTCTATTTGTTTTTTATTGCAACTTTGTTTTTTATTGCAGTTCGTGGCTCAGACAATATTCCTGTCATAGTCTAACAAAATTGTTCTCCAGAACTCTTCAATTCTCTCTAAACTATTTAATAAGTGCTTGACTGAGTTTTGTTTTCCTGCCTGCTGGAAAATGGCATCTGTTGTTCCAATTTTCAAAAACTCCAGAGAACATTTTGACTCCTCCAATTATCGTCCAATCACTCTTCTTTTTGTTATTAGCAAAATTAGGGTGTTCTGAAAAAAACAAAGTTTAAAAATATCAATCTCCCTGGCTGTTTTCTGGTGATGGGTAGTGTAAAAACCCTAAATTTCAAATTTCAGCCCAAAATATTAACCCTAACCCTTATTCCAAGTCCCTGAAAAAAGTTATTTTTTGGTTTTTTCAAAGATTTTAAATTATTTTTAATCTATAACTTTTTGTAAGTAAATAACCAAGTAAATTCAGTCTTAACTTTTACTTTACATATTTGTAAAATATAAAAAAAAAAAAAATCATAAAAAAAAAAAATCATAGCCAAGTTTAATATCAGAATTAAAATATCATAAATGTTACTAATTTTTCATGTTTATTGGTCTTATATTGAGTAACAATCAAAATAAATCTCGTTAAAAAAACAACAACACATTTTCTGACCTATTATACATTTGAATATGAAAAAATACACACAGATATTAGAAAAAAGGTAATCTATAAGGTAGATACAAAGGTATGGGGAGGGGGGATTTCTTAAAAGCATACAAACATGTAGAAGGGGGAGGGTGTTAAAGATAATGAGTATGTACGCAGTTTGACTCTATCTCCTAAACTTGATTTTACTTTTTTTTTTTTTTTTAAACATTAAGTTTCATGTGTCTAACAAATCATTTTGTTTTTTTGACTTTTACTTCTGAAAAATAATGTGTATGTACGCAGAGGAAGGAGGAGGAGGGAGGATTTAAAAGCATACAGGAATGTACAAGGGGGAGGCGGGTTCCTAAATGAATAGTTTTACTGCCTATATACTTTATGCATGTCCCCCCAAATTGATTTAAATAGGAAAAAGTAACTACATCAGTTAAAGTTTGTTTAACAATTATTTAAAGTTGCCTTTCTGAAATCTATAAAAGACTTTCTTTGGTTTTCAGCTACTTGTAACACACTTTGCTTTTTTCATCTTTTGTAAGAGACAATGAAAAGTCTTTCATTATTTTTACACCTCTCTCAGCAACATCATTAATATTTTTTAAAAAGTTCATTAAGATAGCCTTTGTTCCCTTCCCATGTTTGCACAGCTACTCAGTGTTTAGACCAAGGGTTTCAAAGAAGCCAAGAGTTTTGCCCAATCAATAATGGAATTTATGTATTTTTTGTCACTACAGGAAAAGTTGGTATACCTTTTTCCGCTTATCACATTAGTAGAACTGGAGTTTTTTAACAATATTTTTTTTCATTGTTAGACAACGTTTTTGAAAACAATAAAAAAACTGGAATGAACTTAGTTAAATACCAAAAACGATTTTTAAATATCATTGAGATGTTTTCTAATGATTCCTTGTTGATGATTTTGAAGTTCTGTAACTCATTAAAAAGTTTTAAGCCATTAAAAGGGGTGTCGACTCCAAATGGATATGTTAACCAGTGCTTGACATACACAAGAGCATTAAAAAGGCATATCTCTCAGCTTCACAGTAGTTACCTCATTACAACCCATAGAATCTCTAAAGAGAGTATATTACTAAGCAGCGTTTTAGGAGTATGTATCACCGACAACATCCATCTTACATGATGAAAGGCCCCAGGTTTGCGTTAATGTACACCTCTATATGGAATTTCTCCAAGTAGAATTAAAATTAGTTCTGTGCATTCCTTATAATCATCTCTTAGTTCGAAATTCTTATTCTTGAGCTGCTTTTTGAAAGTATAAATTGTAGAATATTACTGTAGCTTCATAGTTTTGACTTTAACATCTAAGCATTTGAGGTCATCCTAGTCCAAGTTAAAGTCCAATTTTTTCTAAAACTTCTTAAAGTATTCATTATTTGGGCTGTGATTACATCCAAATAGTGCTTGCCAGGCTGCGCTCTGCATTCTTTCCAGTATGTGATGTCTGCATGCAAAGTAAAACAACTTTTTTTCTAAAAGAATTTCAATTTTTACACATGTACCATTCTGCCACCCTGAGTTTGGAGCAGTTGTTTCAAAAGACAATCCAACTATATTATCTGCTAAATCCCATTGCGGTACAAAAGAAAATGTAGCTGTGGCTCGACTAGACCCAGTGCTATCCACTATTTTTGGAACGTCTAACAATTTACCTTGTTCGTAGCCTGGAGTTCCTGAAATTAATATTGCTAGTGTATCAGACTGTTTCTTATGAGGGTTCATCAATTTCCTCTCAGTGCAAAACACAAAATTTAGGAGACACAAACAATGACTTTATTTCATTGTTTATTATGACCCTAATTTCTTGACAATATTGATGACACAAAGTTTTCAAAATAGCAACAGTGTTTAAATCAACTCCACTACTTTTTAGTATTACAGCTGTGATCCCTGTTGCTTGATTAAAGGATAGATTCAAGTGATCAGCCATTTGACAAACCTCCTCTTTAGCTTTTAAAGGATTAGTGAGTGGTCTTACAAACAGTTTTTTCTTAGGCTTTTTTAGGGGAAATTTTTCATCTGTATAATCTAGATCATCATCTTCTCTAGAATTTTCTAAAATCATATTCATTGGTTGCTTTATAACATTTTTTTCAATGTACTTTACACTTGATTGTTTCCTTTTTTTATAACTTAGCAATTTTCTTGAATTGTCTTTGTCAACAGAGCCTAAAACAACTTTTCTACCATCCTTTAAATTATAATGAATTATATTAAATTATATTCATTTACCATCCTTTAAAGCATCTAAAAAATTTAAATTTTCTTCTTTTTGTTTAGTGTTCCTTAATATGTCACACTTAAAAATAACAGCTGCTTCTTGATGTGTAATATAAAAAAACTCTTTTAGTTGATTTAAAAAAATCTGTGATTTTTCATCATTTCTATCTTTATGCTTGATTAGGTTCTGTATGGTTTATACAAATTTGTAAGTTTCCGTTTCACTTTGTCTTTCTTCTTCACTTTTATTCCTGTTTTCTCCCATATAGCGCACAGCATGTCAGTTATCTTACTACATATAACTGTATTACTGATAGGGTACTTATCATGTTTCAAAGGCCATTCTTCCAAAAAAAAATCGAAATACCTCATGCTTAGTTGGTATTTAGTTTGAAGGTAGTTGTTCAAGACGGTTCCCTAACAACCAAATTTGGTATTTTGAACATAAATTTGATTGACTCATATTGACAAAAGCTAACTTCATCATATTTACAAAATGCACTGCAATAACTTATAGCAACATAAACATAACCTTAATCTTTAACTACAACAAAACAAAAAGATGACTATATTGTAAAAATGACAACTATATTTACTTTTAAGAACTCTGTTTCATATGTACTAATTTACAATTTATATACAACTTTTCGTAATAAAGAAGAATCCAATGGGATAGCTATGTACATATACACAATTATCCCAAAGGAGTTTTGTCTGTATTTTTGATGATTATGTACATCAATGATGATTATAATTATTTTTCTGAACATATGTGTAAAATAAAAGTTTAAACTGAGCTTTACTTGTTTGTTTACTTACAAAAAGTTATAGAATAAAAATAATTTAAAATCTTTGAAAAAACTAAAAACTAAATATTTTTATGGGAATTGGGACAAAGGTTAGAGTAATCATTTTGGTCTGAAATTTAAAATTTAGGGTTTTTACGCTACCCATCACCAGAAAACAGCTGGGGAGATTTTTAAACTTTGGTTTTTTCAGAACACCCTAAGCAAAATCTTTGAGTCTTTGATAAAACAATTTCTCACACTACATCTTGAGTCAAATAACTTACAGTCAGTCAATCAAACAATACAGTTTTCAATCCTCTTGCTCTACGGCTGACTTGCTAACTGCTGTGACTGAAAAATTATGCATTAGATGGAGGTGGAGAGGCTAGAGCTATTGCTCTTGACATATCTAAAACATTTGACAAAGTTAGGGATGCTGGTCTTCTTCATAACATTGCTTCATATGATGTATGTTTAGATAATCAAATCATTTCATTCTAAGAGTTTTATTAAAGTCATTCTCGAAGGCCAACACTCTTTTTTATTCCCAGTAACTTCCGGGGTACCTCAAAGATCTACCCTTATTCCTGTTTTGTTTCTTACCTACATTAATGATCTTCCCAACAACCTTATATCTAAAGTAGCTCTTTTTGCTGATGACTCAACTTTATACTCCTTGACAAAAAGTTTTTTTATTCCGATTGCTTAAAATAGGCAGTCAATCTTAAATCTAATCTCACTTCTATAACAGATTGGGGCTCGCAGTGGCTTGCAAATTTCAACTCCAAAAAAACTCAGTTATTTACAGCAAATAAATGAGTTTTTTTGTAATAACATATTGCAATACTGTTGACATTTCTATATGGATGGCAACCCTCTCACTGAGTCCTCTTCTTAAATCATTGTTTACTACTGACTTTTCATGGAAACCATTTATACAATTGAGCTTTGCTAAGATTGCTTTACTGTCCTTGCCATTTTTTACTCCTGATTCCATTGTCTACCTCTACAAATCTCTTATTTGTCTCTGTATGGAATACTGTTATCATATTTGGGCTGGTTTTTCAAATGATGCTCTTTCTCTTTCAGACAAAATCCAAAAACGTATTGTAAACGTAGTTGGATCCGCTCTCTTTGCTTAGCTTGAGCCTCTTACCCATTCTTGTAAAGTTGCATCTCTTTTTCTTTCTGCAAAAACATCATTCTAAACATTGTCACCAATCATCAATAATTTTTCTATTGATGAACTGATACAAAATTGTGCTGACTTAGTAAAAAATTTTAAACAGTAAACCTTAAATACAGCATTACAGCATTGATATGAAGTTTTTTTGAGCTATGCATCATTACAGATCTAATTTGATAAAAAAATTTTGCAAAAATTAACTTTAAGGCTTTTCCAAACATTAGTAATGCTTGATGACTGAGGAATTTAGTGGCAGCAACTGCAACCAGCAAATAATTTCATTATTAATGAATGGATTTATATCTGGTTTTTTCATCACTGCTATAAAAAACAAACTATGAAATTTTATTAGCTGCAGTTAACAAGTATCCAAAAGCACAGTGTAAAGTGTAAATAAAAACAGTGCAGGAAATTATGGTTAATGCAAAACTGAAAAAAACAATTTATAGAAAACTAGTTTTTTGTAATAAAATTTTAAAGATTATATTAAAAAGACCGATAATTATCAAAAGTTATAATCAAAAAATTGTTTTTTTGCTTTATTGGTAAAACTCAGACATAATGTAAAGTTATGTTAAGTCTCAATTGGTTATACTTTTAAAGTATATAATTACCTAAGTGTAACCTAAGTATTGATACACTAAAAGTATATCAATACTATGTCTGCACTACAGTGCAGACATAATCTAGCATGTTATAAGGATTAAAAAAAGTTACGTGTTACATGGTTGCAAATTGGAACTTTTGTATATTAAAAATAAAAATAAAAAACACAAATAGCAAGATGACAATGATAAACAAATATTTATTGAGTTTTTAAAGTTTATAAAATTGTAAGTAAAAAGTGTAACCTTGTTACCAATTGTAACCAGTTTGAGACATAACATAACTTAAAAATGTTAAAGTGGATATATATTCTGTTTCACCCGGATCCTTCCCCACTACCTTTCATTATAATATCTTTATTTATGTTATGTATATAATACCTATAGAACTTTAAAAATGTTTCATTTTCTTTTTTAGAAAACTTGAAAAGATTTTAAAAAAATTAAATGTGCAAGCAAAGGACTTGAACCCCACCAAAGAACCTCAGAAGCGCAGCGAGCTAACCACTTTGGCCACGAAGTCATACTTTACTAAGACATACTAAAATTTTTAACACTATTTAATAAACAAGAGATGGTGTTATATACTTTATAAAACAGCAAATAAATTTTAGTTCACATTTTTTCATTAAAAAAGAAACTCTTGATCTCGCTGCAACTCTTTTTTGTCATTAACTTAGCTTTAATGGCTGCCATGAGTTTCATGCAAAGATGCATGAATGAGTAACAACAGCAGCATTAAATTCAATAATAATATATTATAGGATATTAATAAAAGTAAATAAATATAATAATGAAAAATCTTGAATAAATAATAAAACTTACCAAAACAGCAAGGTGTAATGGAGTTTCACCCATTTTATCTTTGGCATTAATATCAGCACCATTATAGATCATTTCTATACAGGATGTTAAATTTTTTTGCTGCACCATTGCATGTAGTGAATCTTTATCGTAAGGAAGAATAAAAAGCTAAATTTATTTGTTAAAATATATTTGTGACTTTTAAAATAATAAAAATTTCTTAAAATATCATAAACAAATATTTTATATTATTAGCAATGTCCCGTACTTTTCAAAAACAACTTTTTTTAATAAACAGTGGGCCCTTGGTATTTTTTTGCTTGAAAGTATATAAATTCAAAATCTGTTATATAAAGCTGGTATTAATAAGTCTTTAATTTCAAAAATTGATTTATTGCGATACTTTATTGAAATGAAAATTAACTTAAAGCATAAATACATTTTTATGCAGAAGCAATAAAAATCGTAAAAACTTTTGATAAAAATAAACTTTTCACATTTCAAAACAGTTTTTCATGTGAAATTTTTTAGCAAAAAAATTTTTAAAGTTCGATATTTTTTTATATTATATTTTTTGTATTTCGCTTTTGTATTTTTATTTATTTCAACCTGTCAATATTATATAGTGGAAGTAAAAGAGATAATTTACAATGAGTGGTATAAAAAGAAAAAAGACAGCACGGTAATGTCTGATTTAATAGGTATACAATTTTTGAGAACATATTTGCTTTATTTTAAAATTATATATAATATTTTATTAATATAATATTATTTTAATAATATTATGAATATTAAGTCATGAATAATACATTTTCTTGTAAAGAATTTTGCCAACAATAAAATTGACATTGAAAACAATAATATTGACAAAAATTATTTTTCAAATATTATAACCTAACATATTTAAAATTAATATTAATTGTTTGTTACTAATCTTATATCTTAATATAATAATATCGATATAATGTTAACATAATGCTGTTATATAACAATGATACTACTACTACTACTACTACTACTACTACTACTACTACTACTACTACTACTACTACTACTACTACTACTACTACTACTACTACTACTACTACTACTACTACTACTACTACTACTACTACTACTACTACTACTACTACTACTACTACTACTACTACTACTACTACTACTACTACTACTACTACTACTACTACTACTACTACTACTACTACTACTACTACTACTACTACTACTACTACTACTACTACTACTACTACTACTACTACTACTACTACTACTACTACTACTACTACTACTACTACTACTACTACTACTACTACTACTACTACTACTACTACTACTACTACTACTACTACTACTACTACTACTACTACTACTACTACTACTACTACTACTACTACTACTACTACTACTACTACTACTACTACTAATAATAATAATAATAATAATAATAGCAATAATAATAATAATAATAATAACAATAATAATAATAATAATAATAATAATAATAATAATAATAATAATAATAGCAATAATAATAATAGTAATAGCAATAATAATAACAATAATAATAAAAATAATATAAAATATTATCTTAAGGAAATAGAAGAGAAATATCATATTTGTTCCATCTGAGCAACCAACTCTTAATGCTGTTCTTCAAAAAACTCATTAAAAAGTTGTCAGAAAAGAAAATCCAAGTTATTATTTGATATAACAAGCTGCAAATGTGCAATTTTATTATGTAATGAATCAAGTTGTCTGGGATTTTGAAAAAAGAGTTTATATTGACTGTAAATGTGAAAAGTCAGTGAGGATTACTAAAATAGAATTAGAATTTGTTCACTTAAAGAGAAAAAAAGGAGGAAAGCAGTCTCAAAATATGAAAGGATCAAAACACTACATAGAGATTAAAAGGAAGTGAAAGGCCATTGAGTGATGCAGTAAGAAAAAAAAGAATTTGAAAAAGTTCAAGAAAAAGGAGATGATAAATTGTAACCATTAAAAAAAAAACCAATGCTGAGATTTTGAAAAAAAATAATGATGAAAAAGAGTGCTCTAAAAGTGAGTTCGAATGTTACACTGAACATATTGGTTTATTAAACTTAGGTAATAATTTCAAAAGAAGCAAAATTATATGAAAATTTAAAATATTGCTGAATTCAAAATACTTTCAAAATGCTATTGAAAAACACTCTAAATATTTTAAAACTGTTCTACATTAATGAAAAAAATTTTGAAAGTTTTTTACTAACTATATAGGATAATTTTAGACATAATATGATTTTGGTCTCCCTCCCCTTTTGAGTCAAGTTTGGAAAATGTTGCCTTTATTCTGATAAATTAATTCATGTCTTTCTTTAATCTATATACCTAAAGGCAAAAAAAATTATAAGGGCCAACTTTTATATTAAAAACTGACAAGTACGAGATGCCCTAATATATAATGATGTGCTGCTAAAACTCTAAAAATCGGTTTGCACATACTTACACCATTCCCTCTTGCCCCAGTAGTTTTTTTTATTTTATAATAATTTTTATAACTTAGCAATTGCTATTAAATTTAAAATGTCTTTAATTATTAGGATATTGTTTGTGTAAAAATAATGTATTAAATGCTCATAAATTATTAAAATATTTTTAAATTGAACTTTTTAAATCTTAAATTAAATTTTCTTCAACCTAAATTATATTATACAAAAATTTTAAAAAAGCTTATTTATTAAAATAAACTAAATAAACATAAGAAACATAAATAAACTAAAATAAAAGGTATTTATAGAAGTTTAAGTTCTCCTTTTATATTTAATGAGAAACTCTGTGCACAAGAGTTATTGCAAGTTAATAATGCATCAGCAAAAGTATATATTGGAATTTCATTTAAAGTTATTATTAAAAATGTAAAAAAAAAAAAAAATTTCCAATTAGGTTAATGAGGCCACCTCTAGGAACTTTATTGTTTTAATAACTGGCTCTGTCAAACCGGTAAGAACCCATAGCAGCACATTTATATGTATAAACAAACTGACATATTTAGTTTTGTTTGTTGTATAAATTAATTTATAAGCTAAACCAAGACTGTTTAAAACTTAAAAGAAAAAAGAAAAAAAACCTCTAAATTTCTAGCCTTTACTTCAAGCGCCAAACCTTAAAAAAAAAACAAGAAAACAATCAACAACTTTTTTTTAATTAGGAAAAAACAAGTATAATCTGAGCCAGGATCTTTAAAATAAAATTAAAAAAAAAATTAAATATAGATGGAATTAGAAAATAAAAAAAAAATATTTTAAGAGCAAGATTAATGTTTTACAGTTGAAAAAACTTCAAATTTATTTCAAAAGATGATCACAAATTTAAACTAAAATTGAGCATAAGAGTTTAAACTTTAACTAGAATTGAGCAAGTTGTATTGGAACCTTGTAACCATAGTTTGTTAAGAGTTACTAGAAAACAAAAAAGTGTTAATAAACAAGGAAACCATTGACAGAAGATTTAAAAATTGAATCTTGTATGAGTCAGTCTATTGAAGGTTGTGTGACTCTCCCATCTTCAAAACATGAAGATGGGTGTTTTACTCATGATTGAATTTGAGTAGATAGCTAATTTAAGCAACAGCCATGAAAAATTTAATAACAAATTTTTAATGGTGTGACAGAGGCTTAAGTTTGTATGTTAAAGCAGGTCCAACTATGTTTTAAATGCACTTTTTAACTTTTTCAAAAAAAAAAAAAAAAATTATTAAAAGACTCAAATATGACAACAAAGACAAAATAAAAGATAAAAAAGAACCTGTGTAAACATAAAGCAGAACCTGTGTAAACATAATGTCAATTTTATTACAATAATGACTAGAAAACAATTTTTAAATATATGATTTAATATGTAATATTAAAAATATGGCATTTTTTAATAAAATTATTATTTTATTCACTTAAAATAGTTTTTATTTTCTAACTTGCGCAATCTAATAATTTAATTTATTTTATATTTTCTTTACACAGACTGTTGATAAGGTTGAAATGACTGTTGAAAACCATTTATTTTTAGGGAAAGATTATGCTGCTTAGTGACAACCATACTAAAAAAATTACAGTAAAAGTTACATTAAAACTCTGATTTCAGTGTAAAAAAAGTTGTTGAGAACAGCAAGTCAAAAAAGTTGTTGAGAACAGCAAGTCAAAAAAGTTGTTGAGAACAGCAAGTCAAAAAAGTTGTTGAGAACAGCAAGTCAAAAAAGTTGTTGAGAACAGCAAGTCAAGTTATTCAACAACAACAAAAAATAAAAAATTCCCAACAACAAAAAAATAGCAAGTTTCTGATGTTGTGACAGAAGCTCAATTATGGATGCTAAAGCAGGTTTAACTATATTCAAAATGCACTTTTTCACCTTGCAAAAAAAAAAATTCATTAAAAGATGCAGTTCAACAATAATAAAAAGACGCAGTTCAACAATAAATACAAGGTCTTTTTTTATCAAGTTTATTACTTGTTTACAAAACTTATTCATTGTTGAAAAAAAATTTAATCATTTATGGAATCTTAAAACTATATTTATGGAAACTATAAACTATATACTTTATTAAAAAAAATAACACATTGTTATATTAATTTAAAAAATTTGTTACCTTTAAAATTTGGGTCTAGATCTGCTTGGTTCTCTCCAGGTAGAATCGACTCAATTGTAGCTTGCTGGTGCATTTGCTTAAATGATTAAAACAAAAATTAAAATTAAAATCAAATTAAAAAGTTTCATGTACATATTTTTCATATTTATTTTATATCAAATGATACTTGATTTTGAAAATACCCCTTAATAAAAAGTTTTGGGGTAACTGTATCATACATATAAATAAATATGTGTGCATAAATTCAATATATGCATGTATCTAAAATAATAAAATATTAATATAATAATATTTTATGGCCACATTTGTGTAACTTAAACTTTTCTAAATATCCTTTTTTTTTTACATTATAGAATAGTTACTGCAATTTTTTGTATGATGTATTTTATATCCATTTCTATGCCTGGTATACTTATCTTTGTCTTTACAATTAGAAGCAGGGACATGGATTTGACAATATACATATTAATATGATTATCTCAAAGAACAATTAAAAAAAAAATTTTTTCATCATATTTTAGGCTGAATAATTAAAATGTATATTTTTATTATTTAATATTGTTTTAAGAAAATACTAAAATAGTTTTAAAAAATATACAATCATTCTTTAAATGTTATATTCTAGCTAGAAATATTTAATGAATATTATTTCTCGTTGAAAATATATTAATGAGTTGTAGGGATATAACATTTTATTTAAAATACTCACATACAATTTATTTTCATAACACTAACTACATGAGGTCAAAAAAAATGCATCTTCAGTGCAAGACTTCCGAGCGTGACCATATATGAACCACATTTGAATGATCGCTGTGGCTCTATGATACATAGTGTATTCCTGTAAATTTCTTGAAATCTTTACTAATATATAAAACATTATTTAAAAAAAAAAGTAGTCTGCTAAAATATATATATTTTTTTGAGGAATTAAAGTTTACCTACCTAGTAAGTAAAATTTTTCCGTTCTATGCAAAATTTGTTTCAAATTTTGTTTATTCTTTCATAGTGTTACTTGTGTAAACCATTCTTTGTTTATTAAATATTTATACAGATTAGAATTAAATGAGAGTAAATTGGAAATGTCCATTAGAAGACATTTAGAAGACTAGAAAAAGTTTAAAACTTTAAAATAACTTTTTTTAATTGATAGACTGCTTGCCCAAACCAAACCCTTCGGGGTTTTTTGTCAGTCAATGAACAACACTTCTTGCATGTTCTACCTATTATTCAGGCAATGTATGTAAACAGTAAAAAAATAAAAATAAAAGAATTCAGAATGTTTTTATTTATATGCTGACCTAAATCTGCAGTGGTATGTAGTATAGAATTTTAAAAACGAAACAAAATGCCATCCCTTAGCCTTTTACAATTTTGAAAACCACCCTTTTACCTTTTTTATTGTGGGGTGTGATGCCATATTGATTAAATTTTTTTTTTAATCAAAACAAGTTACTAATAGTATCAATAATGAAAAAGTTTTACTTATTTTGGTTAATTGAAATTTTTATTTATTAACTAGTAATTGCAAGTATAAATAGCTAGCTGAGTCTTGATTGTTCCATTTTGAAGCCAGCAAAATATTAAAATGTTAAAAAATGCAATAAAAAATAAACTGGCTTGCAAGTTGGTGTTTGAAAACATCAAAGAGTAGAGTCTATTATCATAACATCAGATGTGTGTAAAAAAAAAAAAAAAAAAACTCAAAAAAGTTTTTAGACCATCAGTTGAAAAATTAGAAATGTAAAACTCTCCATCTCCATCTACATCTTCATTTGAAAACTATGTCTCTATCTTCATTTGAAAACTATGTCTCTATCTTCATTGAAAAGGTATGCTTCCATCATCATCTGAAATGTAAATTATGTCTCCATCTTCATCTGAAATGTAAATTATGTCTCCATCTTCATCTGAAATAAAATTATATCTGCATCTTCATCTAAAATTTTCAGATGAAGATTAAGACATAATTTTCTTTTCTGATGAAAATTGAGAAATAATTTTCATTTCAAATGAAGATGGAGACATAATTTCATTTTAGATAAAGATATATTATGTCTTAAAAATGTCTCCATCTTTGACTAAAATAAAAAGTATGTCTTTATCTTTATCTAAAATGAAATTATGTCTTCATCTTCATCTGAAATGAAAATGTGTACCCATGTTCATCTGAAATCAAAATCTTCATCTTTATCCAAAATGAAATTATATCTTCATTTTTATCTAAAATGAAAATTATGATAAAAATTATCTATCTTTATCTGAAATTAAAAATATGTCCCCAATATCATCTGAAATGAGATTATGTCTCCATCTTCATCTGAAATGAATATTATGTCTGCATCATCATCTAAAATGAGCTTTATGTCTTCATCTTCATTTGAATTTATTTTTCCAGCTTTTTTATTATTTTATGAATAATAAAAAAGATGGAAAAATTATGTTTCCATCTTCATCTGAAATAAAATTATGTCTTCATCTTCATCTGAAATGAAAATATGTCTCTATGTTCATCTGAAATGAAAATTGTGTCTCCATCTTTATCAACAATGAAATTATGTCTTCATTTTCATCTGAGATGATAATATGTCTTAATCTTCATTTGAATTGAAATTATGTCTCGATCTTCATCTGAAATGAAATTATTTCTCCATTTTCATCTGTAATGAAAATCATGTTTCATCTTTATTTGAAATAAAAATTATGTCTCCATCTTTATCTGAAAGAAAATAAAATCTTTATCTTAACCTTAAAAGAAATTATGTCTCGATCTTCATCTGAAATGAAATTATGTCTCAATCTTTATCTGAAATGAAAACACATTTCAATCTTTATCTGAAATGAAATTTTGTTTCTATTTTTATCTGAAATGAAAATCATGTCTCCATCTTAATCTGAAATGAAATTATGTCCCCATCTTTATTAGAAATAAAAATTATATCTGCATTTTCATCTAAAATAAAAATTATGTCTTCATATTCATCTAAAATGAAATAATGTCTTCATGAATGAAAATTTTGCCAACTTTAATTAATCAAGAAAACCCATTTGCTCTTGCATTTAAAAACATGGCAGAAGTAGAGGATGAAGAAATCCGCTGAGCAGCTTTAAAAGATAAATCAACTTCTGTTGTAAGAATGTCTTTGCTTGAAGTTCATGAAAGACGTCAATACAATCTTCCTTCCCATGAGGAGGTTGCTATTGTGTTTTTGGAAGATAATGGTGCTCCACCTGCATCCACGGAAATTGTTATATACCCTCGAGGTCAGCCATTGAGAACAATTTTGTCTGCAAATTTAGATCCTATGGGATATCCAATATTTTTCCAGAGAGATGATGCTGGATAGCACAATCAACTGGAGCACAACCCTGACCGTGAAACTCGTGATAGAAACCATGTTACTTTGTCTCAGTATTATAATTATAGGCTTGCTGTTAGACAAACTTTTAGTTCTATATTCTCTTAGGCAAAAAACTTTTTCAGCAATATGCTGTTGATGCATATGTCAAAGTTTAGGGACAGCACCTTGGTTTTATTAGAAATAACCAAAACAAACATAAAAGTGAAGAATATGATGAAACAAGAAAGTTGTTGTATTTACTTATACTTGACTGATTATATTAATTGATTATTTTTATTGCATTTTTAATTTTCTTTTATTTATCTCTAGATGCTTTTTATTCTGTTACAAGTAAGTTGTTGTACTCACTTATACTTAACTTATTACATTGATTGATTGGTTTTATTTTATTTTTAATTTTTTAATTTCAGTTACTATGTCTTCAAATACAATATGTAAGTTTTTTGTACTTGCCAATAATTAATTTATATTACATTGATTGATTGCCTTTGTTGTACTTTGTATTTTTTAATATACTTAACTGTTTTCCAGTTTAACCAGTTGATGTAGTAAGTCAAGTATAAGTGAGTATAGTAAATAAGTTGTTGTGCTCACTTATACTTAATTTATTAATAATTATTTTTATTGTTTTTTTTTTATAGTAGATTTTTTGTAAGTATCATCTTACTAGATAGTTGCATTTTTGTATATATACATATATATATATATATATATATATATATATATATATATATATATATATATATATATATATATATATATATATATATATATATATATATATATGTATATATCAGTCTATCCCAGAGAGCCTTCTATCGCTGGTGTAGGTATGAGGAGGATCATCCTTCTTTTAGATGGAGGGATGACACCCCATACAGCACCAGGGAATGAGAGGATGCTGGGAGAAGATGTGGCTCAAAAGTTGTAAACAGTTTTTTTTTACATTTTAGCGTAATTTACAACTTTAGAACTTTTGTAATTTTTTTTTAAATATATTTTTCCATTAATTTTAATGCTATCAGATTTAATCATTTTAATTAAGACACTTTTATTAACAATACTCAATGAAAAGAAATAAAAGTATTTGATAAAGTTAATGTTAATCTCAAAGGGCCTCGGTTTTCACAAAACCAAATTCTATGTAGCACACTCCAGAACCAAGACATTTTATAATTTGTTGTATAACTTTGATAAACATGCACTACAAGGTAATATCATTGAATGTATATTACACAAATAATATTTCATTTTTAAAATATGATGCTTGTAATGGTTTTTGATAAGTGTTAATATGTCTCATGATATGGTAAGAGCTTATAATGTGTTATTTATTATATTTTTATGTTAATATGTATTATATAAAGTTATAGATTTAATTTTTTTAAATGTTTATGTATGTTTTTATAAGTGTGTGCTGTTAGCAGTTAAAATATGTACAATGAACTCAGGATAACTCAATAACCCTCAACAATATGAACATATTTTTGAAATTCCACTTGAGCTTTTTTTTATGTATTATAGTCTCAATAACTTTAATATTCTTTAAAAAAATAATTTTTTTGTCCCTTGAAGGTGTGAGTTGTTTAGTGTTTACCCTAACATGTTATGGTATTTAATTATTTGTTGTGATGTTTTATGCTAATAGACTTAGTTCACATTTATGTTGGTCTGTCAGGCCTGACAGATCAACATGACCCTAGGGTTATGGAAATATGAAAAGTAAGTTTTTTATCCACTTATTCGCATTTTTGAGTTTTCAAATTAATTAATTGATTGCATGACACGTTGATTTGTAATTAATGTGTAATAAGTATTTAAAATAACTTTGTTAATTAATACGTTGTTAAGTGTTTAAAATAATTTTGTTTAATAATTAATAGCTCAAGTTCCTTCTCTTATGGCTGATTTTTGAAAATTTTTCTTCAAAGAATAGCTTGAGAAATGTTCTGAATGTCGATCGTTTTCTAAAAGCTATAGCAAAGTTACGTCGTTAATCTTCATAGCATTTACTAAACTCTATAGAATATGAAACAATGACATTATTTAAGTTGTTTATTCAAGTAGTTTCAGTGCCGCACTTTGAATATCTGCCCGGGACAAACTGTCCCTCACGACCACCCCCCCTCCTCTCGGGGCCAAATAAAATGTAGGTACCTAAAAAAAAAAAAAAAGGTCCTACATATATAATATAGGAAAAATTTGATAAATCCGTTTCTGTATCCTTCCTTTGCTTTAGAAAGAAATCTTAATTGAGACCGTAATTACAGCCTTAAATTAGGCACAGTTTCCAAAAACACTGAAAGGTTACGCAAATGTAGTCTCTGTAAAAGATACTTTAGTTATTTAAACGATATTAAAGTAAATCGTTAACCAAAAGTCAAGAATTTTATAGCGATTTGTCTTGCTGTAAACTAAGATTTATTGAAGTAAAGAGCAAATTAAGTATAGATATGTTCAGTTGTGTAACGTAGTTGTCATCGTACCGGTTTTGACAGCGCTTTGTAAAGAATAAAAACTTTTTAAATTTTTTCAAAAGAGTATCAGCATTTTTTTTTACCTCAAGAAAAATGTTTTTTGTTTCTCATAAAATTTTATATATTTTTCTAGTTATGTCAAATAAGTTAGCTCTATCGGTTTGATTTTATTTTCTGTATAGAATATATCTATACGAAATAATGATTTCAAAGAGGGACCGTGACCCGTTTTCTGTGTCCTCTTTTGTATTTTAAATAAATTTTAATGAAGGGTTAAAAAAAATTCGTTTAAAAATTTTTTTGTTAAAATCTTAATATTCCTAAAACAACGAAAGAAATATTACGTAACTGTCATCTATGTTAAAATTAAATAACAATAGTTTTAAAGTAAATTTATTATTAACCAAACGCCAAGAGTTTTAAATTGATTGATTTTCTGCTATTTATTAATGTTTTATGATTGATGTAAGAAGACCAAATTAAAAAAAAGTTTAGATGTAGTCGGGTGTGGAACAGATTTACTATGACCCGTATTGTACGGTTCATGACAGCTAGTTAAATAATATTGTGCTAGTTAAATATATTTTACTGCTTTGTCATGTGAAAAATATTATTCATATGTTACTTTTTGTTTACAGCTCACCTCTGAAAAACAAAATGGAAACGGAAACTGTTACAGTAGTTTATAACTCTTTGATTATTGTTTAGAATAAATAAGCATCACTGTACCATGAATCTTCATTAGATATAAAACATAATAAAAGTGCAATGCAAAGACTTTTAAAAGAATTTCGGCATTAAATTCATGCAAACATGGGACATGTTAAATTCTTTAACAAAACTAGAATATCTTTCTAATATGTTACAAGACAAACTACTTTACCTGAAACAAATCAGCTTTTCCTTTAAAGTACCATGTATTTCAATCAATGAAATTTAATTCCATTAAATTATATATGCAACCACATTTTGCGACAGATGGAAATTTGGAATTTAAAGCTGTTGGAAAGTTGGAATTTAAAGACTAAAAAACTATAGAGAATAGAGTTGCCAAAATTAATCAAAAAGAATTTTTCAGTAAACGAAGTGAAAATTTTGATTCTAGAATATTTGCATCTTGAGCTGGTTAAAAATTGTTACAAGACAAAAAAAATCCTAATAAGAAAAATACAATAATTTGATATAAAATTTTTTTAATTTTTATATCAAATTACTTAAGAATAAGGTCCATGCTTTAGAAAAAATGGCAGACAATTAGCTTAAACTTTCAAGGTTTATTTATGTTCAGCAATCCAACGGTTTCCCATGTACTTTTTAACTGGTGACTGTAATAAAGCTCCAAATGATCATCATCCTCAAAGTATTGATAAAAATAATTAGGATCTTTCTTCAGCAGAATGCAGCTTTTTACTATAAATATAAAATTTATTATTTTTTAAAATATATATATTTATTATAATTTAATATTTACATTATAACCTTGCAAAACTCTCTGAGAATAAAAACTGTATCAAGTTTAATGTTTCTTCATTAGTAGGTCCATGAATTAATGAGTTTGATCCTAAAGAGTTTGATCCAAGTGCCAAGACAAATTGTGAAAAGTATTGATATTCATTTATATATAATAGCTCATCTCCCACCGCGGGAGATGAGCTAGCAACTAGCTAGTCGCTACTTATGGGTAAAAGACGCGTTAACAAAGTATAAAATACGTAATAATACGTATTTTAGACGTCTTTAAAACGTCTTGCGTCAACTAGGTATCTTTTTTTTAGGGGTACAATGATGCCTACTTTTGGCCGATGCCGATGGTTACAGGCCGATGCCGATGCATCGGTATCGGCTCTGATATTGGATATATGATGGAAATATACACTTGAATGGAAATGCCACCTTCCATTCATGTGACAATGAAAGCAATATTTTAAAATTGTTTTTAAAAGTTACGTTTTAAATGTATTTTAAATGTCTTTTAAACGTCATCTAAACATTCTTACGTAAAGAACGTTTTAAATACGTTTAAAACGTAACTTTTAAAAACAAATGCCATAGGGATTAGTTCTAGTTTGTTTTTCATTTATTTTTTTATTGTTTTCTAGATAACTAGAGCAATTACTTCAATTAAAATTTTTTATTTTATATTATTTTCGTCTTCTGTTAAATTAAAATGATTTCGTTTTTTTATAAGGAATGAATGGAAAATTTTGATGTCGTTACTTTTAATAATTGGCAAGTTTTTAGCAAATGTTTTTACGAAATGAAATTATAAAACAATACTTATATTTCATATTTATTTATTAAACGGTTTCAGTTTAATAATAAACTTTTTTATTATTTAATTTTAATATAAATGTAATGAAAAATTTTGATTGCAAAGAATAACTGAAAGAGTTTCAAAAAATTTTTTTTTTTCTAAATTATAAGAAAACACTTAAAAAGTAGGGTACCCTGTTAAAAGCAGTTCAAAATTTTTTAGTTTAGTGGTTGCATACAGGGCCGCCAAGAGAGGGGGGGGGGGGCAAAGGAGGTATACGTGCCCCGGGCGCCAAGATTATACGGGCTCCAAAAACGATTTTTTTTTTTTTTTAAGTGTCTATACGATGCTTAACTTTTATTTTAAATGTTATGTGATTTTATATGTTGTTTTTATACTATAATTTCATGAAATAAGTAAAAAGTTTATTTAATTTACAACGTCGGTTTTCATGTTTTCGGTTATTATGTTTAGTGCAGTGAGTTTGCTTTCAGAGATTTTTTTTGTATATATGCATATTATGAAAATGACAACGTATTACATTTCGGCATTAAATCTCACGAAAGTATTAACGTGCATATTTCAATGTCAATCTATGCAATTACACCTCAAATGTCAAATCTGCTTATTCAAAGGTGAAATAAGAAAAGAGAAGAAAGAAAAAAAAAAGGAATAAATTAAAAAATTATTTTATAGATATAAAAATTAAAAAAGGTAAATGTAAAACATGGTTAAAATATTTAAATAAGTATAGATTAAAAAAACAAAAACAAATAAAAACATAACACAAACTAAAAGAAAAAAATGTTCGAAAATAGTAAATAAAAAAGGTACGGCAATCAAAAAAACTTTTTTGAGTCTGAAGTAGCGAGGTGGCGTGAAACATTGCGCTGTATTTTGGATGCAATATTGTTTCTTTCATCACGAAACATGGCGTTTAGAGGTAAACTTTATTTTTACTTAGCTATTGATATTTATTGTATAAACAATCGTTTTTACAGATTCTTGCGTTATTAACAGCTCAAACATCTGCTCTTGGAGAGCAAGAAAGTGGCAATTTTCTAGGAGTTCTAGACATGGTTTCAAACCACAACAAAACGTTAAAAAACCATTTAGAAAACGTAGCTCGTCACCAAAAAGAGGGATCTCGAATGTAGACACACTACCTCTCATGAGAATCACAGAATGAGTTCATACGTGAGTGTGTTTCATTGCTTCAGTGTTGCTCTACTTCTAATTCAACAGCTAATAAACGATCTTGGCCGTATCGGCTCATCATGGAATAATATTTTGACTGAAGCGAAAACTGTTGCAGGTCCTTTAAGCTATGAAACGGAACTTTTGACAAAACGAAAGAAGAGAGCAAAACGGTATCACGATGAACTTGCAAATGCAGCGGTCCTGGTTGCATATATGCCTATATAAAACTTATTATTAATAAGTTAGATTAATACATTGCATTTAGGGTAAGGTTTCCGATATTGTACCCTCTAAGAAAAAAGTCAAAAATAGATAAAAAATACAAAGTAGAAACAATGAGACTTTATTGTATTTTATAATTTGGGGATAAACTGTTCTAAAAAAGTTGAAATATGTCAAAATTTAAACGTTGGTACTTGATAAGGAACTAAATTTTTAAAAATATTCCATCAGTAAAATTAAAGAAACCCATAATTAAAATCCTAAATCGTATTATCATAATCCGATATTTTACCTATATCTTTATTTTACAAATACTATATTAATTTACAGTACATTTTGAATGATTTTTGTAAAGATCTTTTTCTGTGTAAAATGTAAAATGTTTTGTATGTTTTGAGTTTAATAAGTTTTATTTAACAAGAATTTAATAAATTGTAAAAGTTTTCAAAACAATCGGCATTGGCTTTGATAATCATATCAAGGCCGATGCCTATGCATCGGCTAAATGGCCGATACATCGGCAGGCCAATGCACCCCTACTTTTTTTCACCGGTTAACCGGTGCACCCCTACTTTTTTTCACCGGTTAACTTGCAAAAATCATTAGTAAAGATCAGGCGGACATTCGCGGATTATAAAACAAACTTATATTGATAGCATACATATTGAACAATGTATTTCAAGTTTCAAATTACTGGACCGCTTTGGACCGCAATAGTATTCGATTATATAAGTGAAATTTTAAATAAAATAGTACCTCAAATACCCCGTCATTTGAAACCATTTTATTTGACATAACTTACTTGCAAAATAGTGTTGTAATAGCTCATTTGAAAGATAATGATTTTATTAAACTATCCAATAAAAAGGTTTTAAAGTTAACATCTATTCCATGCTTATTAGTAATATAAAAAATACTATCAAATTAAAAAAAAAGAAATGTAGAAAATTTTTTTTTTTAAAAAAAGCTTTTTATTCTACAGCTTTGAAAGATACGGTATGATAATTAAAAGATACGGTATGATAATTGAAAGATACGGTATGATAATTGAAAGATACGGTATGATAATTGAAAGATACGGTATGATAATTGAAAGATACGGTATGATAATTGAAAGATACGGTATGATAATTGAAAGATACGGTATGATAATTGAAAGATACGGTATGATAATTGAAAGATACGGTATGATAATTAAAAGATACGGTATGATAATTGAAAGATACGGTATGATAATTGCCCACTGTGTAATTTTTCCAAATCATGTTAATTGTATAACTTTTTACTAAATTTCAAAAAAAAGTTTGCGATACAATTAAAAATTAAATTTAAAAGTTTTATAAAAATAACCGTAGAAATCAAACTAAATTAAAGTTAAAACAAATATTTGTACTAAAAACATACAAAAAATAGTTATAATATAAATAATAAAACGATGAATCGCATTAACTCATTCGCTACCTTCCGAATAAAAATCTTTTCGTACATTTTTTTAAATAAAATTTGAATGGCATAACATTTTTTTTTTTTTGTAAAAAAAAAAAAAATATTTTGCTCTTCATATAAAAATAAAATAATACAATTACAATGAAACTTTTACGTTACACAAAGAGTGTATATAAAGCAGACTGGGGCTCAAAGAAGATACAGATGACTGGTGTCACCATCATCTTTTCATAGAGCCACTTTACAATAACATTTAAAGCCCACATGGCTTTAGTAAATTTACAATAAAATATTTTTTCGTAAAAGTACTACGTGAAAAATAAAAAATCATATATACATACATACTCATATATACATATACACATAAACACACACACATATGCAAGCATACTTACATATATGTCAGAAATTAAAAAGATGCAATTTCATTTGTAGTTTAAAAGAGAAAGTGCCTTTCAAATTTTTTATATTGTTATTTTTTTAATTGATTCCATAATGATGAGCGTTGGCTAATAATTGAGAATTTTGACACTTGCAATTAACATAACATGATAATTAATTAAAATTCGAATAATAAATCTCTTTAAAAGCATAACAAACTGTATATCACCCGGTGGGAAATCTATAACCGTAACGATTTCCCACCGGGTGATAGCTATAATAGTAACGATTAAGACAGCAATATGGCCGCGAGGATCGCTAGCTTTTTTAAATTAGCGAAAAGCCATTGATATTTGTAAAGATAAAGACAGCGATTTGGCTGCGAGGACAGATAGTTTAATAAGCTAAAAACCCACTGGCTATTATAGCTTAAGTCATATCGTAATAAAATCGCTGTCTAAAAAATGTTGATATGTAGCTACGAAACGGCTATAGATTTGTAGATATTTTGTAGCAAGCTACAAAGCTACGATATGTAGCTAGCAACACATTGCTACAATATCATGTTTAAAGTTCAGTTATTCTCATAGTTATAGTAGATTCAATAACACCTTAAAAATTCGATTCTTGAAGTTGCTAAGAATCGAATTTTTAAGATGTTAAAGACATTCGGAAAAAAAAAAAAAAATAAGAAAAAAAAAATCGCTCGAAAATTGGTATAAATCTAGCTAGTCGATAGCTCATTTCCTATCAGGCAATAGAAAGCTAAGCAAAGGTACTTTTTAATCAAATAAGTTTAAAAACGCATCATCGAACAATAAAAAATGCTTAAAACCATTGTTTTTAAAAATAGCAACTAAAACCTTAAGTCCGAAACAAAACTCATTAATGAGTTTTGTTTCGAACTTAATATTTTAGTCCTTGCGGTACTTAATGTTTTACTTCTTGCAGCGTGTTACCATGTCTTCGAAATATATCGAGTAAACTATTCATAGCTGCTTCGGAACAATTTAAACTTTAGGCACCAGGATGCAAGGTCTCCTGAGAGGTTTTCTCTACTGGTAGATGGATTAAAAGAATTACTGTCACAAGAACTGCCGGACCAATATTCAGGGGAATCGCTTGACTCTACTTCCGTATTTTCTTCCACAAGTAAATGCCCAGTGGGCATTTCGACGTCGAACGAACGTCGAGCGACGTCGGATCTCGACGTCGGATCGACGTTGGGTTTACGTTGGAAATGGAAATGTTATTTGACGTCGGATAAACTGACATCGCGCGACGTCGGCATTCCGATGTAAATCCAACGTGTTTTTTGAAAACTAAAAAACGTTGCCTTAGGCAGGAATCGAACCTCGGACTATTAGAAACTAAATCCTACGCGCTTATTACTACACCAGAGACTTATTGATTAATGTGTTTATTTAGTAATTTATACTTGTAGCTATTTGGAAATTATTTCTTTGATAAGAAATAATTTTGTTTAAATATTATATAAATATTAAAACGAATAGTTATATATTATAAAAAATGTATACTCGAAAATGTTAGTAGTTAAAAAACTATGCTAGTGCATCATACAAAACCTCATGATGTTTTATCAACCATTATTCAAACTTCTTTCCATTAATAAAAAACACGCTAAGTTCACATATTTATTGAAGAGCGCAATTGCACACATATTGTTGGGTTTGGATTAAATTTTCATCAGCGATGTCTTACGACGTTGTTCCAACGTCGTTTTAAGGACGTTGGATTGACGTCGGAAGACGTCAAAAGACATCAGAGTACGTTAATATTATGACGTTGCCCGACGTTTTTTTATCGACGTTGGATCGATGTCAGTACTGCGACGTTTTTTGGACGTCTTTTATAAGATGTCGGAACAACGTCAAAATACATCGAAACGACGTCAGGGGATGTTGAGATAAAGACATCGCCCGACGTCATTTTACTGACATCGGAACAACGTCCGAATAGATCTTTTGACATCGCTGATGAAAATCGTACGTAAATCCGACGTCGGATTGACGTCGGGTGCCCACTGGGTGACTACAATTCTGACGGCTAGTATAAAAATAATCTTCTTCTTCTTGAGGTTGTGCACAGTTGATGTTAAAACGCACATCCACACTTTCCTCTCGAGCATCTTTTAAAACTGATTTATTCAATTTTCTCCAATTCTTTAAATAATCTTTTCTTGATGCAGACATATTCTTAACAACTGTTTTGAAGGAATTAAAGCAAATTACTATTTTAACGTATTTAAAAAATAATAACTTTAACGAGTTAAAACTTTATTAAAAATTAAAAATTTTAAGCATTAAATTCTCTGTATTTAATATTCGTATTCCGTAAATTGCCTCGGTATAAGACGGAATTAAAGACGTCTTAAACTGGATGTTCCGGAAGACGTCTTGTTAAGATATTTTTAAGACGTCTTAAACTAGTTGTTCCTAATATAGCCAGCCGTCTTTAAGACAACTTGTTTGAAGACTTCTTAACTACGTCTGTTAAAGACGTCTTAAGTACGTCTTATACTGGCTGAAGACGTCTAGACGAGTTGAAGAAAAGTTAAAGACGTCGTAAAGACGTCTTATATTGGGTGGGTTGGGGATCCCTTAAGTACTATTTAATCCAGCAGTTTGGATAAAGACACTGCAATGCTAATTTCAGCAATTGCAAGGCTTCTAGATTACATTCCATTAATAAAATGATACATTTAAAAAGATATTTTTACAAAAATTTTGCATTTAACTTAAAAACTTTTTAATTTAAGTTAAAAAAATTTTTAACATTAATTGTTTTAATATTCTTATCATTGTTTTTAGTTGGCATTTTTTTTTTTTATTTTTTTTAATAATGTCCTTCTTTTACATTTTTTTAAAAATAAATCTGAGACCAGATTTTTTTAATAAAAGCTTTTCAATTATATCTTATTTATTCACAAAAAAAAAAAAAAAAAAAAAAAAAATCACCATTTTTTACCATTAAATTTTACACCACTGACTTTTAATACAACCATTGCCGATTGGCACGCAGTTGAGCCTGCATTTATTCATATAGAATCATATCAAAAACGTAACAATAACTATATGTTAGAAACACAAGCAAAAAACTTATTAAAAATAAAATACTAGCAAGCAATCAGGCAATTTAATGTTCTTTATGCTCCAGAAGGGCAACGACACGGGTTTTGAAGTGGGGGGGGGGCACAATCGTCAATCTTTAAAAAAAGTCTTCTATATCTAGAATTTTCTTAAAAAAAAAAAAAAAAGTTCTTTAGAAAAATAGTGAAAAGCCAGAAGGCCCCGATGTGTCGGCCCTGTTAAAAACGAAATAAAAAAAAATAATACAAATACAAAATGTTAATAAATATTATTAAGAAAAAAAAAAGTGACTTTATTTCTAGTAAAATGCTGAACATCAAAATTAACAAAAAAAGATTAACAAACCCAATCAAGTTACCTCTTTTTCATTAGTTTCATGCATAGAAGAATCTCTATTTTCCTTCAGCTCTGGAACCTCATTAACACTTTTTTCCACTTCCATTACCAACAAAATTTTTTTTTAACTATTGTAAACTTTGAATAAAACAAAATAACTTTAAAATATTTTGATTTATATACTATATAGTATATAAATCGTTTATATACAATTTATATATATATAGTTTATATACAATATACTATATAGTATATAGTTTATATATAGTTTATATACAATATACTATATAGTATACTGTATAATATTTTGAATAAAAATATTTTTAAATTATTTTATTTCATTCAAAGTTATTCAAAAAAAATTTTAAAAAGTATTCCTAAAAAAATTAACTTGATGTTTGATACCAGTATTAAATATCAAATTTATTTTTTTATAAATACTTTATTAAATTTTTTTTTATCTTAACAAAAAACTATTAACAAAAAATAATACAAATTAATAAACATTATAAAAAATGAAAAGGTATTACTATTGTTTCATTTTTATTAGCAAATAAACATTTCAACAATTAACAATAACAAAAACTTTAAGAATTTTAAATAAATAAAACAAACAAAAAATTGCTTTTATTTTAGGCTTTCATCAACGTTGATAAATAAAATTGTTAAATAAAATGATAATATATTTACAGAACCAAAAATTAACACTTGTACTTTCAAGTTTAATAGCTGATATATTGTTTCGGATTAAAATCATCTTACTAATATAAAAATACCATTAGATATCTAATTATACATGTATAGTTAAGCCTTTTACATGCATATTATTTAACATTATTAAATTTTTTTTTTTTAAATAGTAAATGAAATTTTTATGTCGAATTTTAATAAGAATTTAGTGAGACCTATGGTCTGACAATATTTTAAAACCTGCCTTCAACAGGTTAATCTCATAATATATGCTACTCAAGACACTGTCTTTATTTATACAATAAATATAAAAAGAGTAGATAAGCTTGTTTGGTTTAGAGACAGCATGTTTGCTAAGAAAACATATTCAAAAAATCAAAACAAGGTAATTTTTTCTTTGCATATTATTGAAAGTTCATCTTTTTTTAATTTATGTCTAATATCATCTAAGTGTACCAAGTGTACCAAAATATAAAAACTAATTTTTGATGCATAAATTACTTTGTTATCATCTTTTTTTTTCCCTTTTTCAAGTGTTCTTGATTTCACTTTATTAAGAGCACTTTATTATTAGCAGCCGTGGCGCAGTGGTAGCGCACTTGCCTCAGAAACGTAAGATCTGTGGTTCAAACCCATCTCTGGGCAAGTTTTGCGACATCGGTTAGGAAGGAGGCGTGAACTTCCTATTAAATGCTCTTCCGCGGTGCTCTGTGATAAGACCGTAAGGACTTCTTGGGGCACCTAAATCAACATAAAAAAAAAAAAAAAAAAAGAGTAGCTTGTTTACCTTTTCGGAATCTTTTGTTCTTCACTTTTCCTACAGATAACTTTGAAGTGCTTCTGCATTAAACAAAATTAAATTTCTTATTTTATGTAACTCTAATAAATCTGATAATATTAATACGCTAATTTTATATTATTATTCGAATTACGTCATTTTCTAGGCTTTTCTATTTTAAAGTAGTTTCTAGGCTTTTCTATACGCGGTTTTTTTTTCAATTTTATTTACTTTTTTTTTATTTACAACGCATTATTACAAATTTTATTTACAACGCGTATTACGGGTTGCTTACTGCTAGTAAGAGAGAAATGCAAAATAAAATGTAGTTTTATAAATTCAGACAAACTAGATTTAGAGATAATATTTAATAGACAAATGATACTTGATAAATAAAATATTAATAAAAACCAATATACTCATTATTTTTGTAAACCTTCTTATTTACAGACTATAAACATATTTATAACTAAAATATATAAGAGTAGAAAGACAGAGAAATTTAAAGAGAGTTAAACGTTATTTTTTTACTTTACTAGAACTTAACATTTTGTGTTAATAGTGAAAGATAAATTGTGCTAGTACTGAAAGATAAGATTCAGTAGAATTGACACATTATAAAACTTCAAAAATATTAACACAAAACAAAAATTCTAAAGATTAACTCAACTTGAAACTTCAGTAGCATTAACACAATTTGAAACTTCAGTAGGTTTTACACAATATAAAACCTCAGAGGGTTAACCTTCTAAATTTTTTGTTCAAACTCAAGACTTTTATAAAAATGGAATATACAAGCTTGTTTCACGATTGGAGAAAGTCATTCTTGCTAAAGGAGACTATTTTTCAGAATAAACTTTACTAAAACCGTTTTTTTGTATATTTATTTATGGACCTGCAAAAATGTTTTTGTGACGGTTTTCGGAACCTTTGATGTTTTAAAGCGTTGCACTTCCATCTATAATACTTCCATGAATGAACAAAACAAAAAAGATCAAAATTTTCAACTCATTTTCGAGATCTTCTCTATTTTGAAACTGTCGGTTCATCATATGATTATCCAGGGCCAAAATCAGATGATAATCGTTTGGGGTAAGGTCTGGTGAATATGGAGGGTGTGGTAGAATCTCCCATTGTAAACGTGCTAGAGTTTCCCGCGTGATTTTTGCGGTGTACGGTCTGGCGTTGTCCTGGTGGAATACAACACCTTTTCTGTTTGCCAAAGCTGCTTGTTTTTGGTGAAGAGCAACTCTGTCCAATTGAGCTGAGTATATCTCAGTACTAATGGTTTTTCCACTTGGTAGCAACTCATAGTGAACGATACCTGCTGTAGTCTACCATACACAAAGTAAAACCATTTGTTGGTGAATACGTGGTTTAGGAGTTAACGGTACTGGATCGCTACTGGCTAACCAATGATATGTTTGTTTTTTGTTGCAGTACATAATCCATTTTTCGTCGTACGTCAACATCCGGTCAAAAAATGGCATGTGGCGGGATAGCAATAAAGAACAGATGGTTAAGCGCTGTAGCTTGTTTGTTTCACTAAACTAATAAGGTACCCATTTGCTCAACTTCCAACGTTTTCCAAGTTAGTACAAATGTGAACGAATAGTTTCATCACTCACATTAAATCTTAAGGCAAGCTCCTCACATGTTTAGCTGGAGCCCTGCTCGATTGCCAGCTTGATATCCTCGTGGTTGACAGTGGATGGTCTTCCAGATCTTGGTTCATCTTCAAGGCTTTCATTTCCAGAAGAAAATTTTTTGAACAACTTTTGACCCGTCCGTTCTGCTATGGTACCTTCCCCAAAAGCAGCGCATATCTTACGACAAGCTTCTGCAGCTTTGGTGCCAAGTTTAAACTCATAAAGTAAACAGGCGTGAATTATCGCATTTGACACAACCATACTAAACTTAAGAATTTTAAATTTAAATTGTACTAATAAAACTTATGAAACACACTGATTGATCTCCTTGAAACAAGTTTTAATTTATAAACAAAATAATCTCCCTACCACAACCATAATCTTATAATACTTTTGTTAGTAAATAGGAATTAGTTTTACAAACCTATGTCATTTTACAAATTTATGTCCTGATACATACAAACACTTAAGCAAGTCAGAATTTATTTATCTTCTTTGTAAAAATAATTTTTGGAAGCACATAAATTTTATCAATCCAAGATGTAGTATAATACTGATGCTATTTCAAGAATAACTTTAAATGGAAATATTAGAAATTTATGAGACATGAGAACTTTTTTCTTTTGTGTTTGATAAGATGAAAATCAACAGTTTTCTTTCAATACAATTAAAAAAGATGACCTAATTGAAATGGTATTTTAAATGGCACTTTTGATGAGTTTAAAAATAAAATAGAAAGTTAGACAAAATTTGTAATTGTTTATTAAAGGGGTGTTTTCATCCTTCTGATATGCAAATGGATCTTTTGCTTCTAGTAACTTTAAAGAGATTCCAAAATACTACTAACATATTCTAAAAAAAAACATTTTTAATTTTAATTTTACTTTATAATGTTTATACAAATTGTTAATTCTTTATAATTCATCTTGTTAAGAATTAAAAAATGGTAAGGATAGTAGTGTTTATTGGAGATATTTGATGTTTAGGTTAGTGTTTTTTCTTTAAAGGATTTTTTAAGGATTTTTTAATCTTCATAAATTTTGTTGTTTAATAACAACATTTTGGACAAAATTATTTTTGTTTATTAACATATATTAAAGTATTATTGAAAAAAAGTATAAGAAAAAATTATTTTTATAAATATTTTTAGTTCGCATAAACACGAAATATACATCTTTGTGATGTCTCTCATTTAATCAAAACTACTACTTAATTAACTTACTACTTAATAATTATTAAAACTCTCATTGGAACCAAAATTCTCAAAATCTAGTTGTAAGTTTGATGATTACAATAATGGTGATGATGATGATGATTATTATTATTATTAGGATGATGGTGGTGATGACAATCATGATGATGAGCATCATCATTATTTTTTTATCTTAAATGAAATGAATGACTTTATGAATTTTAAAATTATAAGTCATTAAAACCTTTTTTAGGTTAAAGATCATGTGATGACGTAGTTACATTAAATATATACGAATAGGATCTTAGCATGTTTTATGATGATGTTGGTTTTTAAATTGGGTATAAACTCAGAGAAGAACGTATTCAATTTATTCACAGTCAAAATTGCTTCTAAATTTAGCTGCAGAAAGAAGGATGCATATTTTTTTAAATCAAAAAGAGTAAAAAGTGTTTTCTTTAATACTTCTGATATTTGAATTTTTTACGTTTGAATATTGCTGGTGATCGACAGAAATTATCATGGAAGAATGCAGAAAGTTTGAAAAGTTGATACTACTGACAAACTCTATTCTGCCATAGAAAAAACCACGCCAATATGTTAATTATCGAAATTGAATAATCATGCCATGAGCTATAATTATCTATTTTATATCATCATTTATTTGTATACTTAAAAGTTAGCTTTTGTTAAATAAGTTTAGTATAGAAATTTAAATAGAATTTTGCAGTTTTGCTTTTTTAATTTTGTCTATATTGTTCTTTATTGTGCATCTCTATTAGCTGGTTCATAAAACAATATTTTTGATAAATATTTGCTGCCACCTCATTAATATGTTCTAAATAGTAAAATAACTCTGGATTTAATGTTTTAAATAGATTTAAATCCAGATTTAAAAATGTTTTAAATATTTTTTTAAATATACTTAGATCTGTAGCAAAAAAAGGTTATAAAGCTTTAAAGTTTTAACTTCGATAGAGCCAATTATTAGAGTTTGTATAAATTTATAAGAAACCAAAGAAATTTATCAAATTTGCCCCATTTTGAAACAAACTGATTTTAAGAAGCTTATTTAAAAAAAAAAAGGGTCCTAGTTAAAATTTTATTGGTAGATGGGGACACTTAAATTTGTTTTTTTAAATAGTTTTGGTCAATTTTAAATTACTTATTCTTAATTTTGATTTATAATCAGAGTGAATTTTTTAAACTTTAATTAAAGTAAAATTTTAACCTTTTTTAGAATTTTTTATATATGTTATTAATTATATACAAATAATGTTTTTTTGTAAATTGCATAAACTTGATGCTCAAAACAATTAATATTATTATTTTCATTATTACATTTATTTTTTTTAATATCAAAGCACAATATAAACATCTGCAAAGTGAACATCAATTTCATTCTGCAAAGTGAACATCAATTTCCAAAAAAATTTGACTGATTTTAGAGAATTTATCAAAAGAATTTGAGTTAGCGAGTTTGTTTTTACATATTTCATAGGCGCCGTCCGACTTTACTGAAATTGTTCACGACTTTCTATTGTATTATAAACAAAAGATTTCACGCATGATTTTTAAAATTTCAATAGCGTTGCACTTCCTATAATACTTCCATTATTCCATCTATAATACTTCCATGGTTCATTAGTGAAATTTAGCGTTGCATAACTTATGGAAAATCTCTAATCTGAAAGTTGAGCCAAAAAAACAATGGACTATACTATTTTGATGTTAAGTCGTTGTTGCGCACTCGGTTTAGAATGTTTAACGCGGGCGTGGTTAAATGGCTGTAAAACTCTAAATTTCCTTATTATATCAATATTAAATAATTTTAACTTTGATTATTTAAAAAGAAAGAATAATTAAATAAAAAAAAATTTAAATTAAACCATTTTATTAAATAGCAAACTGGTTTAATTTAAATATAAAATTACAATTTTAAATTATGTTCTTAATAAAAACACACTATTTAAACCCCCTTACAGGTCTAAAAAAAGTTAAGATCGCAGCGTGGCAAGTTCAAATCAACGTTTTGCATTTTTTTTTAATTTTTGTTATTTAAAATGCAAAACAAAACAACTTTACAAACTCAACTTAGTTGTAAAAAAACTTGAAATGTAAAACTAAAATAACATAAGTAAACAATCATGATACAAATTTACCCCGTTGTTTATAAATTTAGCTTTATTCAAAATCTTTTCGTTTGTTAAAGTGTATAATATCGTTACATATGTTTGTATATAATCTCTATATAAC